TTGCCTATGAAACATGAGACACTAAATTCAATACCCACCATGAACTGTGTCTTTTTTAAAGGCTTCTGTAATTTGATAAATAGTTGTAATACTTAAAAACATCTAACATTAACATTTATACATATACATACATATATACACACATACACAGAGCATTCATAAGACAGGATTGAGTAGGATTAACTATCAACTGTCATTTCTGAAGATTATTTTTTACTTATAAATAATTTCCTTGTGTGCTGATACCAGAACTTGAACTCAGAGCTTTGCTTGCACTTTTGCTTAGATTTTTTTGCTCATAGCCAGAGCTCTACCCTTGAGCCATCCCTCCATTCCAGTGTTTTCTGGTTAATTGGAGATTAGAATCTCAGATTTTTCTATCTAGGCTGATTTTGAAACTCAGTGCACCCAAAAAAAAAATTTTGTGGATACAATCAAAAGTAATTTTTGGAGCCTTCTGAATTATTTTTCTTTTCCAGAAATTATCATTATAAGTGAAAATACTTTAAATACTATTTCTATTCTTATTCTTTTCTTTTTGGGTCCGGTCGTGGGGCCTGAACTCTGAGCCTGGGTGCTGTCCCTCAGCTCTTCAGCTCAAGGCTAGCGCTCTACCACTTGAGCCACAGCGCCACTTCTGGCATTTTTTTTCTTTTTGCTTATGTGATGCTGAGGAATCGAACCCAGGGCCTCAGGCATGCAAGGCAAGCGCTCTACCACTGAGCCACCTTCCCAGCCCCTATTCTTTTATTTTTGTTCTGGAAGTTTTGGGGGTTTAGGGCCTTATGCGCTACCACTTGAGCCATACACTCAAGCCTTTAGTTATTTTTCAGATAGGATCTTATATTTTTACCTGGGACTTCAATAATCCTACTTAGCCCCTATAGCTGACATGGGGTCTCAAGACCTGGGCTGGTCTTGAACAATGATCTTCCTGTTCTCTACCTCTTTAAAGTCATGGGCCACCACACCCAGCCTTCTTATTTCTTGGGTTCTTATTTATTCTCTGTTTCATAATATTTATCAATTATTAGGTGGTGACATACTTTATAGCCGAATCTAAAACGTTAAATAAAGTAAAAATACCACTTTTTAAAATGTAAGCATTTACATGTAAGCATTTACATAAATGAAGTATTAAGCTTGGATTCATAACAAATAAATATACCAAATTAGTTCCTACAAGCCCCTGCCATTTGTGCGAGACTGTTAAAAGTCATCATCTTTGATTTCTCATCATCGTTGCTTTTCCTTGTTTCTAGGTGCTACTTAGAAATAACCCTTTAAAAAAATATTGTCATCATCTTTCTTGTAGCTAATTATTTCATGAATTTTAATAATATATGGTAGTGTGTGTATTAGAAGGTAAACATTATAAGTCCTGGTGTGCTCAAAAACATTTCTGTCTTGCCCTCATACAACTAATAATTTAGCTGAGTAATGGTTTCAAAATCAAAACCATCTTTACAACTATGAAACCACTGGACTACATTGTCCTCTGTCCTCCAGGCTTGAGAATTCTGATATAAGCTAGTCTTATCCATTGATTTTTATCTTCTTGTTTTATATTTTCCATAAGCTTTGAAGACTTTGAAATTGTATTGTTCATCTAGGTTTTATGTTTGCGTATCTTTCCACACATTTTCCTTGGTACTATCTAGGTTTGTAGTTTAAAAATCCAAAATCTTTCTTCCGTCAGAATAGCTTTCTAGAGTTAGTTTCAATATTATTTCTTCCATTCAATTACTTTCCTCTGAAATTCCCACTAGACAAATACTGGACCATCTGACATTTGAAGACTCATTTTTTTTTTTTCATCTGATTAGATGTTGTTGTTCTGCATTGCTCAAGATTTACTCAGTTTTTTTCTTTCACATCATTTATTTTTCACTGTTACCATAGTATCACTTACTCAACCATATTCTTTTTTCCTTTTTTTTTTTGTTGGTCGTGGGGCTTGAACTCTGGACTTGGGCGCTGTCCCTATGCTCTTCAGCTCAAAGCGAGCACTCTACTGCTTGAGCCACAGCACCACTTCCAGTTTTCTAGTGGTTTATTGGAGATAAGAGTCTTACAGACTTTCCTGCCTGGGCTGGCTTTGAACTGTGATCCTCAGATCTCAGCCTCCTGAGTAGCTAGGATTACAGGCGTGAGCCACCGGCGCCCGACCATATTCTTATTTCTAGAAATTCTTATTGCTTCTATTCTTTGGCAGTCTCTTTTTAAGGACTATTAGTAATTTTGTTACGTTGAGGATGTTAATTATATTTTTAAACTATACAGTAAAAAATTAATAATTTAAATTATTTTTGCCATACAGTTTCATGTTTCAATTTTAGATTGCCTTGTTAAGATTAGGGTATTTCATTATGCCATGTCCCAGAAAGGCTATAAAGACCGAATGTATTTTCCATACAGATTTAAATAGTGTCTTTATTAATCATCTTTGTCACTAGATATCATAAAGCTAGCTTCTGTTTCAAATGAGATTGGAACCTGTAAGTATGTAGCAATTGAAGATAGGGTGTTGTTAAACACATATGCCTAAGTACCTCTAGTCTGTACTCTGCTCTCAAAACTGAGGCTGATCTTTTAGGAGGTCCCTGACAGCAGGTGAGAGGGCATATACTTTTCCCAGGATCATCAAAACACCAGCTTCACAATAGAATGTTTGTAAAAGAAAAATTGGTTTGTGAAATTTTAGTCTAGTAAAATCCAAGTTCTTTTTTTGTTTTTTCCTCTTGGTCATGGGGCTTGAACTCTGGGCCTGGACGCTGTCCCTGAGCTCTTCATTCCAAGGCTAGCGCTCTACCACTTGAGCAACAGCACCACTTCTGGTTTTCTGTTGGTTGATTGGAGATAAGATACTCATGGACTTCCCTGCTTGGGCTGGCTTTGAACCGCAAGCCTCAGAACTCAGCCTCCTGAGTAGGATTACAGGTGTGAACCACTGGCGCTGGCTAGTAAAATCCAACTTTATCTTCCTTAATTTTTCTTTGGCACCACAACAAACAAGGTCTGTCCTTTTGTAGTATCTCTTGGCAACTCTTCAATTATAGGATATGCATTATGTGCATATTTACCTGAAAACTTTTTTCATCCAGTTTAGACTAGGTTGCTAAGTAAGGGATTTGTAATACTTGGTTGACTTCCAACAAATCCATTTAAACCTAAATGCTACAGTCAATAAACTGTTTCTCTGCAATGACAGTCCAGTTCTAGAGTTGTGCAATGAGTATAGTTTATAAAGAGAAAGCTGGGCAAAGTGGCACATGCCTCTTAATTCCAGCTACTCAGAAGATGCAGGCAGAAGGATTTAGTTGAAGGCCAGACCAGGAAAATGATAGGACACTTGTTTAGCATATGCAAACCTAGGGCCTGTCCCCAATGGGGTGAGGTGAAGAGACTATTGCATATTTTTATTTGATTTTTTGATATCCTAGTAAGTACAATACTCATTTAAAATATGCCATCTTTGTATCATTCCAATTTTAGTATATGTGCTGCTGAAGCGATCGCTGTTGCCTATTTTTAAATTGGTTATTTACTCCTTATTTAAGTCTAAGGTTCTTTTTGTATTTTTTTTTTTTTTTTTTTTTTTGGTCCAGTCATGGGGCCTGAACTCTGGGCCTGGGCACTGTCCCTCAGCTCTTCAACTCCACCACTTGAGCCATAGTGCCACTTCTGGCTTTTTTCTTTTTGCTTATGTGGTGCTGAGGAATCGAACCCAGGGCCTCATGCATGCAAGGCAAGCGCTCTACCACTGAGCCACCTTCCCAGCCCCTCTTTTTGTATTGTTGACACAAGTCCTTTATCGAAACACAGGATTTGCAAATGTTTCTTACTAGGCTATGGTTTGTCTTGTTATTCTTTCAACAGTGTCTTTGCAAGGGCAGAGGGTTTTTCCTTGGCTGAACTTGAATTTATCTTTTTTTTTCTCTTACAAATTCTGTTTTTGTTGGCATGTTTAAGAGACCTTATGCCTGCTATAATGTAGAACAGATATTATTGGGAAACATTTAAAATGCTGACGGATTGCTAACAAAATTTTAGCTCAAAAAAATAGACTTCAGATAAAATAGCCAGATTAAATATTGTACCATCCTCACAGTTTAGTATATACATATTCTAAAATGTTCCTTCTTATTTGAAATTTAAGTTTAAGCTGATATCCTACATTTTTATTGCAAAATCTCTCAACCCTAGTGTACAACTGTTTTTTAATGTGTTTCAAAGACACAGGAAATGTTAATATCAGAGCAGATGAAAAGAGCAAGGCTTTATAAAAAAAAAAAAACTGCAGAGAAACAAATCTGAAGAGATTCTTAACAATGGAGTAAAAAGAAAAAGATCACCTGGAAACAAGAGCTATCCAAATGGAAAAATTCCATCAAACCCAAAACTTACTTCTGATATGGGATTAGTGCTGTTGATGAAAATAACAGGGATATGGGGCCATGAACCTGTGCCTTGAAGAAACATCTGCAGCACACTCCACCTGCTTAGGCTAGTTGACCATTCTTCAAGGAGTTAAGTTAAAGTTCACTTGCCTCTTCCTCAGCTTCAGAGAATCCCTCAAATTTTTCCCTTTTTAAGAAACATCTTGTTGGTGACTGGTGGCTCATGCCTGTAATCCTAGCTTCACAGGAGGCTGAGGTCTGAGGATCACAGTTTGAAGCTAGCTTGGGCAGAAAAAGTCCATAAGACTCTTTAACTCCAACAAATTACTCAGAAAAAGCCAAAAGTGGCTCTGTGGCTCAAGTGGTAGAGCACTAGCCCTGACAGTGACGGTGTCAAGCCATGAGTTCAAGCCCCAGGACAGATTTTAAAAAAAAAAAAAAAAGAACACCTTTACAAATCTTTGAAGTCTAGAGTATTTGGTTATAGTTTTGTAAAATATTGATTCAGAAAATCTTAATTTTCTTTTACCTTATATTGTAAACTAAAGATAAGTACATTTCTTTAAAGACACACTCTTTGACATATACTTTGTATTATAGGCAGTGAGGTCACTCAAGGAGACAATTGAGGATTGTTGGGACCAGGATGCAGAGGCTCGGCTTACTGCACAGTGTGCTGAGGAGAGGATGGCTGAACTAATGATGATATGGGAAAGAAACAAATCTGTAAGCCCAACAGTTAATCCAATGTCTACTGCTATGCAGAATGAACGGTAAGACCCTGACAGTAAGAAGGAACCTACTTTTTTAACATCTTAAAGGTATTTTTCTCTTAATAAGCAATGTAAAATATTTCCAGAGTTCCAAAAAATTTGCAAGTACTTCTACATATATTGTCCAATAAATCTTTTGTTACTGTTTCTTCCTCTCCTGCTTTTCCTTTTCTTTTTCTTTGGTTTTTAAGTAAATGGAACTACTTGACTATGTATCCAATTACTGTTTCACTGAACACTTGCTTACTCTTGCTTTTAAATTAAGACAACTCAAAAGACCTTCCATTCCATTATGAACATTGTTTTTAATGAGACATTTCCTTCATTATAACTATAATTTGAAAAAGAACTAAAGCTGAAAAGAGCTGGGTGGATGGCTGAAATGATAGAATAATATCTTAGTAAGCATGAGACCCTAGTACTGCAAAGGAAAAAAAAATCTTAGTTTGTAGCATTGTTATACAAACTATGGGTCTGGAGTTATGAATGTAGAAAAGAAGGATGTCAGTTCCTTTTCTCACAAGACCTAATGTCTAACTGTGCTAGTATGCAGTTCACAAGGTTATATTTGGTGATGTTATAAAATTATACAGGAGATTTTTTAAACTAAACTTTGCAAACCAAAATAACAAAAATCATATTTGGATCCACATACATTTTCAATAGACAATTAATGTAAGATTTGCTTTTAGCAACTTATTAACCACTCCTTTGGACTTTTAAAATAACATCTAAAATGCAAATTTTAAGATCTGAATAGAAAGCCACTTGGAGTTTAAAATCAGTGGTTTATAATGATAAGACAATTTGTTTTAAATGTACATTCTCATCGTTTCATTTTCTTTCTTTCTTTAAGCAACCTGTCACATAATAGGCGTGTGCCAAAAATTGGCCCTTACCCAGATTACTCTTCTTCTTCATACATTGAAGATTCTATTCATCACACTGACAGCATTGTGAAGAATATTTCCACAGAGCATTCAATGTCCACCACACCTTTGACTATAGGGGAAAAGAATCGAAACTCAATTAATTATGAACGACAGCAAGCACAAGCTCGAATCCCCAGCCCTGAAACAAGCGTCACCAGCCTGTCCACCAATACAACAACCACAAACACTACTGGCCTCACTCCAAGTACTGGCATGACTACTATATCTGAGTTGCCATACCCAGATGAAACAAATCTTCATGCCACAAATGTTGCACAGTCTATTGGGCCAACCCCGGTATGCTTACAACTGACAGAAGAAGACTTGGAGACCAACAAGCTAGACCCAAAAGAAGTTGATAAGAACCTCAAGGAAAGCTCTGATGAGAATCTCATGGAGCATTCTCTTAAACAGTTCAGTGGACCAGACCCACTGAGCAGTACCAGTTCTAGCTTGCTTTACCCACTCATAAAGCTTGCAGTGGAAGTGACTGGGCAGCAGGACTTCACACAGGTTGCAAATGGCCAAGCATGTCTAATTCCTGATGTTCCATCTGTTCAGATCTATCCTCTCCCCAAGCAACAGAACCTTCCTAAGAGACCTACTAGTTTGCCTTTGAATACTAAAAATTCAACTAAGGAGCCCCGGCTAAAATTTGGCAGCAAGCACAAATCAAACTTGAAACAAATAGAAACTGGAGTTGCCAAGATGAATACAATCAATGCAGCAGAACCTCATGTGGTGACAGTCACTATGAATGGTGTGGCTGGTAGAAACCACAGTGCTAACTCCCATGCTGCCACAACCCAGTATGTCAATGGGGCAGTACCTTCTGGCCAGACAGCCAATATAGTGGCACATAGGGCCCAAGAAATGCTGCAGAATCAATTTACTGGTGAAGACACCCGGTTGAATATTAATTCCAGTCCTGATGAGCATGAACCTTTACTGAGACGAGAACAACAAGCTAGCCATGATGAAGGTGTGCTGGATCGTCTTGTGGACAGGAGAGAACGGCCACTAGAAGGTGGCCGAACTAATTCCAATAACAACAACAGCAATCCATGTTCAGAACAAGGTGTACTTACACAGGGTGTTTCAAGCACAGCAGCTGATCCTGGGCCATCGAAGCCCAGAAGAGCACAGAGGCCTAATTCTCTGGACCTTTCTGCCACCAATGTCCTGGATGGCAACAGTCTACAGAGTAAGTAGAAGGATAGTATAATCTCTTCTGTTTGTCCTTGGAACTATTTAAGTAACTACATAGAAGCAAACTGTGTTTTAACTCTTTAGTATTCACCTGTATCACTTTGAGAAATAAAATAAGCCATTTAGTTGGACCTCAAAAGTAACTAAGAAAAAAATTTTTTTCATAAAAAGTCAGTGCCTCAATAATCAGAAAAATTCCCAGTTTAGTATGTGCTTTATATGGTGGTTGCTTTATAATATAGCTTCCATGAACAAATCAGATTAATTAAATACTCACCAGTTTAAGAACACCGAATAATATTATTGCAGTATAATGTCTGAAATATTTTGTTGTGAATTTTAATGTCTGTTATATCTACATTTAGTTTTTAACCATATATTTTAAGTCCAGAGAAATTTTAGAAAGCTACATAAAGTTGTTCTTAGTTTTTATAGTGTCATCTTTTCTAAGAGTTAAGCATTGAGCTCTCTAATGCAATCTATTGTGCTGGGGGGTCATAGCAACTTAAACTAATAAGTTGATGCTCAGTTTCTTGCCCTAAAAATATTACTACACAAGACAGGAGAGCTTACTAAAATCTCTAACAGTCATCATTATGTTCTTTCTTAGACTGACAGCACTATAGAGGGAAAAAAATAAAGTTTAAGAAAAAGTAAAATAAAGTCAAGATTTATGATTGTCACAAATTAGAAAATGGAAGAAAGGATACAGCCAATAAAATCTAATCCTTTGTCTGAGGATGAAGCTAGATGGTAGAGTGCACAAGGCATGCACAAGGCCCTGGATTCTATCTCCAGACTAAAGAAAACAAAAGCCCTTTGCTCTTGTATTATAAATCAGTTGACACACTGATACTGTTCTACATTTGTAAAATATCTTGTCAGGTATAAGAACAGGGAATTAATAGATAATTATACTCCAATGATTCTGTCATTCCTGTATTAGATGTTAGAGGCCTTTAAAAGCTGATCCAAGTTCAGCACTGGTGGATCATGCCTGTAATCCTTGCTTACTTAGGAAGCTGAGATCTAGGAGCATGGTTGGAAGCCAGCCCAGGAAGTAAAGACCATGATACTCTTTTTTTTTTTTTTTTTTGGGGGGGGGGGGGTCCAGTCGTGGGGCCTGAACTCTGAGCCTGGGCACTGTCCCTCAGCTCTTCAGCTCAAGGCTAGCGCTCTACCACTTGAGCCACAGCGCCACTTACGGCTTTTTTCTTTTTGCTTATATGGTGCTGAGGAATTGAACCCAGGGCCTCATGCATGCAAGGCAAGCGCTCTACCACTGAGCCACCTTCCCAGCCCAAGACCATGATACTCTTATCTCCAAGTAATCACACACAAAAAAAATGCCTGAAATAGAGCTGTGGCTCAAGAGGTAGAGCATTAGCCATGAGCAAACAAACCTCAAGGACAGTGCCCAAACCCTAAATTCAAGCCACAGGATAGGCATGCAGACATACACACATATATCTGATCCACTTTGAGCACAGCTCCACTTTGGCTTTTTGCTGGTTAATTGTAGATCACAGTCTTGCATACTTACCTGCCCAGGCTAGCTTCAAACTGAGATCATCAGATCTCAACCCCCTGAGTAGCTAGGATTATAGACATGAGCCACTGGTACCTGGTCACTTTGAACATTTTAATTTTGTGTTTTAGTTTTTGCTTTTGAGACAGGGCCTCAGTGCAATGAGTAACTCACAATACCTGAACTCACTTTGTAACCCAGGCTGGCTTCAAACTTAGGATCCTACTGCCCCAGGTCTTCTGAGTGTTAGGATTATGGGCGTATACTACCATGCTAGGTTTACTTTGAATATAATTGGAATGATTAAGTATATTTTACTAAATTAGGATCTCTACCAGAGGATTTGAGAACTAAGAATTAAGAGCTAAGAACTTCGAATTTCTCCATGTCTGTAGGGGTTTTTTTTTAAAGTGTTTTCTTCCTTAACCTGTAGTATAATTCAGTCATTTATAAAAATATTTGGTGTAAAGAGTCTCAAAATATGAATTGATTAAAATTGCTTTTGTCTAGGAAAACATTGCCTGGCATCTGCCTTCTCCAGATACTAGTTTGACCTTTTCTTGAAATTCAGCCCTAGCCCTTTATAGATGCAGTTCATTTTCTGTACTTTCGTTTTCAGTAGGTGAGTCAACACAAGATGGCAAATCAGGATCAGGAGACAAGATCAAAAAACGTGTGAAAACTCCATATTCTCTTAAGCGGTGGCGTCCCTCCACTTGGGTCATCTCCACGGAGCCACTGGACTGTGAGGTCAACAACAATGGTGGTGACAGAGCAGTTCACTCCAAATCCAGCACCGCCGTTTACCTTGCAGAAGGAGGCACTGCCACCACCATGGTGTCTAAAGATATGGGAATGAATTGTCTGTGAAATGTTTTCAAGTTTATGGAGTGAAATTATTTTTTTGCATTATTTAAACATGCAGAGGACATTTTTAAAAAACTGCTTTATCTTCCTGTCAGCACCCCTTTCCACCCCTGCAACAAGACTTGCTTTAAATAGATTTCAGCTATGCAGAAAAGTTTAGCTTATGCTTCCATATTTTTTAATTTTTTTTAAGTTTTGCACTTTTGTTTAGTCTTGCTAAAGTTGTATTTGTTATGACCACAGAAATATATGTGTGTGTATCAAAAGTGGTCTCAAAATATTTTTTTAAGAAAAAAAAACAAAAACAATGTATTGCTGATAATCAGTTTGGACCATCTTCTAAAGGTCATTAAATCAGAAGCAAATTAAGACAGGTTTGACTGCAGTGGTATCTGGTATCCATGTTTTATTTTGGGGCACAAGCTAGTTTATGTTGACATGTTCTTAAAACATTATCTGTTGGACATTCTTTTCTTCTGTATTTTGTTTGAATGTGCAATAGTCTTTAGACCACACAAAAAAGAAACTTTTTTATAAGCTATCTTCCTAGCAGGGCACACATTCTTCCATAATATGAACATGCCCCCTCCATTCTTCCATTATATGAACAGTTTTTTTCTCTGTCTCTCATATTTTTCATAGGTCAGTTTTATGACAGTGAATTTTGCACAGGAGAAAGCCACCTGATTTCTTGCTTTCTCTCTCCTCATGGAGAATGCAGAAACATTGTCTTAAAGGGCTCTAAACAAGGAACTACCAAAACCTATTTTGAAATGCCATTTCTTTTAACCTTCCAAATCCTAAATGTTTCCTTCCAGGCATTTTAATAAGCATATTTGATTTTGGTTTTGGACGTTCAGAAGAGCATAGAACAAAATATAAGACATCATATATTAGCCCTTTTCAATTTTTATTTTATTTTCTATATATGTGTATGTTCCATATTCATTTATTTATGAAGTACTTTTTTATCATAAAACCTACAGAACTAAACTTACATGGAATTTTTAATTAAGTAGATAGTTGATACAATATAGTATTATAGGCCATCTTTCACTCAAACAAAATTACATTTCCTGTTTATGACAACTCTGAAATTAATTCATAGTTTGCAACCTGTAGTATCTTCAGTCTGTTCCAGCAAAGCCTAGTGACTTTATCTAAAAATGATTTCTCTTCCCATGACCTAAAACACTGTGTGAAAAATCATTCAACTAGCACGCCAAACCCTTGTGGAGGGAAGGATTGCTGCCAAACTTAATGTTTTTTGCAGACTGAGATTGACCCTCTTCAAATTGGATTTCTTCACTCAGTCTATTCTCACTTGATCTTTGATATGTGAGCAGCATTTATTGTATTGAGTATACCTTTTAGTGATAATGTGCCCTTGAAATCTTATTTTTAAAGCTTCCCCCCTTTTTGTTACTAATTTCTGAAACAGCGGCCTCTGTATCTTTTTTTACATAAAGCACTTTCACCAAATAAGGGAATTTTTCTCTAAACAAATTATTTTCTATCAATTTGCAAATAATGATTATTTTTTCAAATTCTCAGAGTACTTAATAGACATTATCTAAGTTCTAAGGAGATAAAAACAATTACAAAGAAAATCCCTAAGTTCCTCACTTAGGTTCTTATCTCCAGAACAATATTTTCTCACAGCTCACATTTCCCATGTTGCTGTTCAAAATATTTGTGATTCAACTTGTGTATAAGTGTTCTCTTATTTGCCATCTGCTGTGATCTCATGAATTAGGAGTTACAAGATTGACTGTTTATCCAGCTGGAACTTGATTCTCAATTCTTTGAATTAACATTACTTACTTGTACCAAGACTTTTGCCTTTTTTGTTTTATTGACCCTTTTTTTTTTTTAATTCAAAGCAGACCCTTAATATAGGTTTTAGTTGATGGACATAGAAATGTTTTCACATAGTTATTATCTTTCATCTATGTAACAAATTAATGTTGTGTCTTCCCCAGTAAATCTTTCACTCTATCTCCTATCTGTAAATGTGTTTCAAAGACATCTTAGCATATTGTTTCAAATATTTATGGGAAATTTTGAATAAAAGTAAATTAGTAGTCCATCTCTACTTGAGGGTCAGTGGTCATTTGAGGTCCAGCTGATTTTTTCCAGTCAGAAAAAGAGTTATCTTACATTCTAATATACTTTGTATCAGTTGATTATAAGTTTTCAACATTTTTAAGTACTTCCTAATATTATATGCTTTTTAAAATGAACATACCATATTAAAAATGTTGTAATTTCCCATTTCATGCAAGCCTGCTTAAGACAAATAATTTCCTTTCTCTCATTTTTCTTTCCCTGGTTTCTCATTAAAAAGTAGGAAAAGTAAAAAGTATAAATCATTTTAGTAAATTTTAAATTGTACATGAGACTTAAAAAATCTATAATATACAAAGCAAACATGTCAATTTAAATGATTTAATGTTTAACTTTATTCATCTGATAGTAAAATTTTTAAGTTAATATCTTAACTGCTGTTAACATTTTGCAAGTAGAAAAGAATTTGGGACCTTTTGAATAAAAGGCCATTCAACTTAAAAATATGAAGAGCATTTCAGTGGATACCAGTATAACCTTATAATAATCATCATAATAGGTAATTAGAGTCTAATATTGGTTCCCTTAATAAAACCCTGATCATATATAAAAATTAAGTCATTGAAGGAACATAATTTAAGTTATACTTAAACCAAAATGATTTACATATAAAATTTAAAAACCTAAATGCATTATAGGGGAGATATTTATAGAAAGTTATGAGAAGGTACATAGTGAATGCTGGGGTAGAAATACACTATTTTCACATCACAACAACCATATGCCCATTATAATTAACACTTTCACTTTACAAATGAGGAAATGAAAGTTAAAAGAAGCTAGGTACTTTCTCTAAGGTTCATATGTAGTAACAGGCTAACCAGGTATTAGTCTGATTCTTCTGGTTCATGTCTTATACCACACTGCCCACATGCTAAATGGCAGGATGTATAATGTTCTGACATTTGTAAGGAATTCAGCACCATTGTGCTTTCTATATAAGCCAAACCAGATACCTTAATCATTTTAATAGGCAAATATAAGATATATAAATGTGTCTATGACCATTATTACTTAAGAAATAATTAAAGACAAAATTCAGTCTGCATCTTCCATCATGATCTTAAAATCAATTGACTGAACTCCTACTGTTCTTACGTGGCAGATCTAAAGGTCAAGTAAATTTGATGAGTGGTGTGCAAAGCAATAGGAACAGAGATTTTTCCTAAACTGATTCCATATTAGATTTAGAGAAATTAATTTAACAGAGAGTTGCAGTCTCCTCAACTCTTTATTCCATCTTCAAAATTTCTGCACTTAGCAATGTTAGACCAGTTGTTAATCCAGAGAAGAACCAACAGAGTAAGTTGTAGGAAGGATACAAGGGTAATGTCTGTATTATAAAACAATTTAGTATAGCTTCCTCACATATAGCTCTGTGTTCCAGAAAACATATGCTAGTCCTGAATCTGAAATAATTAGGGAGGAAAGAACACAGAACACTCAAGCATGTGTTTCACAGGGAACTATGATAAAATTTGGCAAATATTTTAATTTTGAATACGTTCAAGTTTGCTAAGTTAAATGGAATACCTCATAGGCTACAGTTTTCTTACTCATCTTCCAACTCTCTATGAATCTCTCCCTTCAAAATCATTTAAATAAAAAATATTTCAATAAAATTTTTGATTTGTTCTTTAGATTAATGGATATGAATGTCTCATTAGAGGCTGTTAACTCCTAGAACTTGGGAGTATGTTGTATTTCTGTGCCACATTTTATAAATTTATTTTTAACTTACTATTGGTTATATGAATGTTATTACAAACTATTCACTGATATTTATTACTTTATCATCTCAACTAACCCTTAAAAGTTAGAAACTACACAAGCCCAATCACCCTAGAGATTGTAACACCCTCACATACAGGAGTCTCACTGAATGATTGGGTAGTATCATGCCTTTGACTGACAATGTCGTTGGCTTTTTGTTTGTTTGTTTTTTTCTTTTTTAGCAGATCAAGTTGCATTTTAACTTTTAGATTGTGAGCTATGCAAACTTTGCCCCAAACTACCTTACAGAATCTCCTTCTGACTAATACTCATTGTTTAGGTAAATCTGACAAATACTGTTTGAGCTAATTACACAGAAGTCATTATTAAAAGAAGACTTTTCAGCCGGGCGCTGGTGGCTCACGCCTGTAATCCTAGCTACTCAGGAGGCTGAGATCTGAGGATCGCGGTTCAAAGCCAGCCCGGGCAGGAGAGACCGTGAGACTCCTATCTCCAATAAATCACCAGAAAACCGGAAGTGGCGCTGTAGCTCAAGTGGTAGAGCGCTCACCTTGAGCTGAAGAGCTGAGGGACAGCGCCCAGGCCCAGAGTTCAAGCCCCACGACCGACAAAAAATAAATAAATAAAAGAAGACTTTTTTCACAGGGCACCGTAAAGGTGGTAGTACTTACAAATTGTGCCTCTTCTATTAGTTCATAGTTTATGTTTGACTTATTCTATCCCTCTGCTGATTTATGGTCTTACGTGTCAAGAAAGTTTTCTGATTAATTATTCTCCCTCAATTCAGTTTAAATGTTTTTCTTACCAGTAGGAGAGAACAGTTGGTCATCTTTCTCAACATTGTTACTGTGTAATATATTTCAGGCTTCTCAATTAACTTCTAAATCTGTTTATTAGAAAATCTTTCAGATCCTTTACCTTTTCTTCTTAGTCCTATTTTAATGACTCTATTTGTATTTAAGAGCACATAAAATTATATTCTATGTTATATTCAAATTGCACCAGTTAAGTAGGAGTTCAATAGTTGGGTAGAATTAAGATGGTACCACTTGACATTGGATTCAGCCATCAGCACTTAATTTTTGTATTATCTAACATTTTCTATTAAATTGTGGAGTTTTATGATTTTATATCTTCATTAGTTAAAACTAAAAAAAACATGTATACCTGATTATTTCACCATTAAAACTTTTAACATGCAGCAAGCTTAGTGCTATGATTGAGCCACAATGTTTTACATATTTCTTTGTATCAAATATCGTATTAAACATTTAATGCAAATTTAACTTTCAAAAGCAAACCCTACAAAAATCAAGTATTATCTATGAACATTTTTGTAGACCACTTTTGAAATGCTTACTATTGTTTTTCAACATAGACTGGACTAAATTTCATTTAACTTTTAAGTGATTAAAGTTGGGTATTTGCATATAAAGAAAAATCTAAAAATTCATCTCAAGGTAGATACATTTGAAAGTAAGTACTTCAGAGTTTATGCTGTGTATTAAAATTATGCCCCAAATAAACCTGTTATGTCTTTAAAATTCCAGTTCTGTTATTACTGTGATGTTTGTAGTGTTACTAATGAATATTGTGAACATACATATTCATTTTTAAAACAACTTGAAACCCACATTAGAATCTGGGTCAGAGAGAATAATTGTTTAGAATTATATTACTTCACTAGGGTGTCCAGTTTGTGATTAAATTTTTAAGAAAATTAGTGTATTTGGAATTTACAACTTGGCTTCAGTTTTAAAACAACACTTTCCATTTTATTTATACTTTTAAATTTCAGAAACATCTTTATGCTTTAGACTCACTAGACATAATATTACTTAAAAACTCAGGGTCCTTTTCATCCCTTGTACACTGAAGGCATTCAATTGGTACCAAATAGGCAGTTAGATCCAGTTGAGTATTTAAAGTGGTTGTTGCACCATTTATCTAGAGTTTCATCTTATTATAAGATTTAGTTAAAATCGACATAATATCTGACTTCATCAATCAAAAAAACTTGCCCAGTTCTGTAATTACTCAAAAGAAAGAATGACTCAAACTACTTGACTACGTTACAGCAAATTTAAGCCTTAAAGTTGAAGCACAGGCTTAAAACCTTCCTGTTCTTTGGTTAAATGACTTCATGATGGGAAGAAGTGTTTCATTTGGTTTTGTTTTTTCAATAACAGACTGAATAAAGTAAAGTCTTCCAAGAGAATTTTTGAGAGGTAATTTAACATTGTAAAACATCTTTTTCTAAAAGTAAACTAATGAGTTTAATCCTTTGTAACAGCTTGGGTGGTTTTGAGAAGGTAATCTGTGGCAACCTCCCTATCACATCATCAATGCGAGCAGTGGTTCTTGGAATAGATAGTTCAGTCCCTAAATCAGTATGCTGTGTATTTAAATCTTAGTGGTAAAGATATTTGTAATCAGTCTCAGGCTCTGCACCTTGTTACCAATCCTCTTAACCATATTTTAAACACACACACACACACACACACACACACACACTTTTAAAAAAAAAAGTTTAACAGAAAACTAAAAGATGCAATTCAAAGATAGGATTTGGTTTAACTTTGAATTGCTTGACTTCCGTGACTTTTTTTCTGATCACATTTATTTATTTAAGCAATTTTTGTATGCCTTGTTATTTTGTTTCCATAGAAATTATATTGTGTAAATGTTTGTGTAAGCTGGAATCATCCTGAGTTTTTGGTTGATGATTTTCCAGTGAAAATACATTAATAATTGTAAAATACACTATTAGGGTGTTGTAGCTGAAACATGGAGATGTGTAGCTGCTGTGCTTTTTCTAAATGGGCAGGAGAAACATAAGCTACAAAGTATTCATTTCTGAGGATGGTTTTCTGGAAAATAGCTGAAAAATATTAGCACTTCCTCAGAACCTTCTTTCTTGTTAACGGGTATCTTTTGTTGGTGTGTTTTCCTCTCACCTTACAGACAAAAAATCATATATGAATTTATGAATAATTACTTTTAGTTACTTTGCTTTTGTATAAGCTGTCTGAGACCTTGCTATGCTGTATAAGTTGTGTTTGATGGATCAGTGTGAGTATGAAATAAAGCAGATCTTTTTTCTTTTGTATTATCTATGGATGCCACTATGAAAGCTGACATTAAGCCACTAAAGAGTTTTCTATGAATAAGTGTAAGTAAATGCTTTGATATATATAAACCTAAATAAAAAGATTGTATTAAGACAGAGTCATTGAAGAAGGAGATTTTAAGGCAGTTCTTTAGGTTTAAAAGGCTTGCTGTAAAATGGTGCATTATTCCATTTATTAAAGATCATATTAATGACAACAGCAGTTGTAGTTTTTTTTATTTCATGAGCTCTCCAGAACTCGTTATTGCCAGCATGATATGTTAGGAAATTTACACTAGAATAAAACATGTTCTGTCTAATAAAACTTTTATAGCTTAGTATAATACATCAAAAAAATCAGAAGAATTGCTACGTTCTGGCCATCTTCAATATACTAGGCACTGTTAGTTATTTCATATACATACTTAATAACTTTCACAACAACCCTACAAAATATGTATTATTATCTTCCATTTATAAACAAAGAAATAAAAGGTCAGAAAAAAATACGCTGTCCAATGCCACAGCTGGAGTAATGAGACCTTAGTGCACTCTCCATTTTGCTTTAAACTACAGCTTTCAAGCTTTGTTTGTGACAAGAAA